TGCATTGACTAATATTAACAACTATGTGACAACTCATCACCTTCTTTCATGAAAAATTGTATATAAGAGCGATTATACAGCTAGAGAAAATGAATTCACTGAAAAAGTCTCTTCGCTGAACTACATGTTTCGTTTTTATTAATGTCTGGATGGAGACTGTTCATGAACTTTTGAATTTGTTGAATATATAAAAGATCTGAATGTAAATGGCAAACGCATGTTACCGCTGGATGTGGAATTTCTATTTACCAAAATGTCTTTCACAGAAGCAGTTTATTTCCTGTGGAATTATATGGAAGACAAGAAACTGAGCATCAAAATACCAACGTCATATCTGAAAGAATTGTTACTTATATGCACATTTAATGTACGATTTACCTTCGACGACGATATATACAAACAGAAAGATGGAATTTCCATGAGATCTCCTCTTGGCCCACTTTTGGCAGACTGCTTTATGGCCATTCGGAAAATGGGATCTTGAAATCATTGATAGACAAAATATTGTTGTACAAAAGTTATGTCGACGACACTTCTGTAATCTGTCATGACGATTTTGACCTAAATTGTATCTTCCAAAAGTTTAATAATTGCCGCCATCTTTCAATTAAATTCACAATGGAACTAGAGAATGAATCAAAGATTCCATTTCTAGACATCCAATTAACAGGAAGAGATGATAGAACTCTGAAAAGATCTATCCACGGAAAACCATTATGGACTGGCCAACTAACAAACGTCTTTAGTTGTATAACTGTCAGGAGAAAAAGAGCTATCCTCATCTTACTGGCTCACAGTGTCAGAAGAATCTGCAACATCGAATGTTTAGAAGAGCCTTTATGTCTCAAAATGTCCTGGCTCAAAATGAATAGACTGCACGTTTCGTGGAGAAAAATGTGAAAATGAAGGCGAAGAGGAAAAAATTCAATTCACTGCCAAAGAAAACACTGTATTCCGGTGGAGACTTAGATGTAGATATCCTTGAGAGGAGGATCTATAATTCCCTAGGGAAGACGTTTCCTGAAGAAACTGTAAGAGTGATATTTTCTAGCTACCCACTGCTTCTAAGCATTGCGGAGGACAAACTTCCGCATATAACTACTCGCTATGCATATATCGCTTCACCTGCTCCTATGGAGCTAGGTATTTAGGTCGTTCTATATGCGTCCTTGTGTGCGTTGGTGGTGCAGCAGTAGAATGCTCGCCGACCATGATCCGGGGTTCGATTCTCGGCCAACGCACTCCTTTACCTAGCTAAGCCAGTTATAAGACTGGTAAAGAGAGAAGGTTAGGCATGAGGCTAGCGACCCATCCTGTAAAAATAAACACCACTGCTACAGAAACTTCAAGCCTCTAGCTTGAAGTCCTATGTTACACTAGGAACGCAAGGAAATTTAAAAAATGTGCAGCCTTTCAAAACGTGGTAGAGGATACTACGCAGTATGGCTGCAAAAAGGTGGAAACGGTTCAGTCAGAAGTGCTATAAATAAGCACCTCATCAACACCTGCCACAACATCTCAACTAACTCACCATTCTGAATCATTTACAATGTAAACAAAAAATCAATCAAACACAGTAGTTTTGCAACCTTTTTGTACTATAGAAGCCCTTGCTATGTGGAACGAAAAGTGGGAGCTGTGTGTTCAAAAGAAACTAGTCCAACCTCTACACTTAACTAGTTCCGTTTGACCGGTTAGTTTTCGTCTTTTTTGTTTTTCATACCCTTCGACTTTCTCTTTTTTTCCAAATCAGTTACAGATAACTATTATTTTAATTTGCTTCCATGCACATACCGCTTACACTTGTATTCTTTAGAAAAAAAATATATTATACACACAACACAAGTATTTTTTAATTCTGTGTACCTTTGTCTCTAAGCCCTTTGTAATCTATATTCACAACTTCAAACTTTCATGTCAAGTTGAAAATCATTATCACTTTCAATCATCTTCGTTATGGTGTAGAATTAAATAATAATTGTATGTATGCAAATTTATGTATATGTACAGCTTTTGAGAGTGAAATCGTCAAAAGCGTTTGTGATACTGAAAGCAACATTTATTTTTCATAAAATATGACATAATGAATCAGTGATCATGGCTTATTTTTCTATTCTTTCAACACTTCTTCTTCAGCAGCTACATCGATGCTGGTATACATAAAGTCAGAGGGAAACAAATGATCTACTCACATTATCTAGCCGAGGAAAATCCTCTGACTAATGATTATTTCTTCAGTCGTCTATTTGTTATTTCTTCAACGTCATCAAGCCTTAAATTTCACCGGAATGAATTCTGGCTGTTCGTTTACTGCGGTATTTTTCACTCAATGACTTCCTTTGTTTTCTAAATCCGCCGGTATTTCTTTGGGAATATCTATTGTCTTGTAGGCATCTATCTCCTTGGGCTGGAACTCCTCTCCTTGATTGATCATTCTCAATGTGTATCATGATTTAATGAGTAGTTCTTCTTTTTTTCATTATTAATATTATCATTATTATAAGTAGTAGTAGTATATAAATTCCTTGGGTTCCGGGTAAATTATAGGGTTTCAGGAGCATATCTCCACTTCAATCTTCTCTCTTTGACCTTTCTTTTGTTGGATCCACGACTATTCATAAAATTTCATTCCCTCATCACACGAACTCCTCCGTGTCACCACTGGATCCACCCCTAACTCATCGCATCCCATGCGAGTTCCACTCAAGTTGCCTCCTAAAATGAGATGTCACTTGCACCTGTATAAGTAAACTGTTTGTTTTCTTATTTAAACTTAGTAATTAATTCATATGCACACGTAACTTCCTAACCAATTTTTTCTTCTTTTTTCATATTATCATTCATCCTTACGTTTATAATCAGTATGAATGAAATGCAATATATGCACTAATCATAAGCATTCATGATTATAAATATTCGTTGTTATTCATGGTCATTTACTTTGGAAATTTGATGTTTAATTTAGTGTTCCACTTATGCATATTGTCACATATACATTATTTTAAACTGTGATCGTTTAACAATATATCCACATATGACTTTTGGAATTCTCATGTCAGTGGTTTGATATTATTTGAAAAAAATAATAATGTTGTTAGCAAGAATAGTTCATTAATTATTATGGATGCATATAACTGTAGAACCTGATACAGAAATTATCAGGAAGTATATGTCTTTTTCAGTCTTTTGAAGCATGTGTATTCACTAAAGTCATTCAAATACATTCTGAATACTTTATTCCTGGTATATAGAACCATCTGTAGCTCGTCTGGAAATACCAATAACATCTATAGAATATCTACTGAGCACCAATCCTCCTACGAAAGCAGACGTCTTGAATGCCATAAGGTTAATATGAGTCAAGAGGGCGGCAAGACCGGGTGGGACTCCGTCAGTGGCACTGAAGATGGATTCATAGACCTCAGAGGATTTGCTCACATCACTACTGCAGAAGGTCTAGGAGGAAGGAATGGTACCTACCGATTGGAAGAAAGACTGTCTCGTCAAAATATCAAAGAAAGGCGGTATGAGCCTTTGCCAATAGTGCCGTTGAATCTTGCTCCTGTCCACTGTAAACAAAATATTAATTCACGTCAGTCTGGAATAACTGAAAGATACTCTGGATACAAGACTTTGCCCGGAACAAGCTGGATTCAGGAAGAGCAAATCGTGTAGAGCTCAAATGGAAACGTTACACATTATCATCGAACAAAGCATAGAATTGCAATCAAATCTGCATGCCTCAACTTCATCGGCTTTGAAAAGGCCTATGATGGAATTGATTGTGAAGTAATTTAGAAACTGCTTCAATGGAATGGAGTTTCTTAAACCTTTGTCGACTTCATTCAACAGCCGCACAATGATTCCAAATGCTAAGTGATACACAACAGACAGCTCATTGAAGCCTTTGAAGTGAAGACAAGAGTAAGACTGCATACTATCGCCAATGGTCTCCATGACTGCGGTGGCCTGGATAATACAACAAACTGTCCGTTGGAAATATGGAGACAAGCATACATTAAACCGAAAAGAATAATCTAGAAGATATGGATTCTGCGCATGATTTATACCTATTGTTATAAAAACTCAAAGATCTACAGGCGAGTACCAGCAAGCTGTCAAAAGAAGCAGAGAAGGAAGGACTTCAAGTGAACAGAGTTGATCAAAATAACTAACCAACAACACCAAGCAGTAATCAATATCAACGGAAGAAATATGAACTAGGTCACCACTTTTGCTTATCTTAGCAGCAGCGTTACAACTACAGACAGAGAAGATGAGAATGTCAAAGGTAGTGTCGCAAAGTAAGACTAAACTTCACTAGTCTGAAATCCGAGTGGAAATCTGCTACCATCAGCACAAACAAAAAAATTCAGATTTTCAACAATAATATCCAACTAGTGCATCTGTATTGTTCTGACACAGAGTGTGCATCATGAAAAGTGCTTTCCACAGGCCACTGAAAACTTTCTTCAGCAGCTATCTTCGCTCGATACTAAAGATCAGATTGCTGGTCGGAAAAGATAGGTAAAAAGAAACTCTGTCAACAGAATGCCTATTTCCCAGCAAATATCTGTAGAAGGAAATGGAGATAAATGGGATATACGCTGAACAGGCCTCTGAGTAACATTTTGCACCAGGCCTTCGGATGGAGCTGGATTGAGTAACGACTAAGTGGTTGTGTATCTGAGAGTAATTTGTAAGCTATAGTGTGAGGAGGAGAAGAGTGAATCTGGGCAATCTTGTAGCCGAGTAAATAAAGCATCAGAAAACAGAGTGGAGTTGAGATCTGCTGCTGAATCCCTATGTTCCAAAATTATAATACTAATAATAAATTTAAATAAATCACAGGCACTAAAAATTTAATTTGTCTAGTCAATCACATGATATCATTGTGACTGCTGATTCTAGAACTAAAATTCACACTATTGATTATTTCGGACGAAAAATGAACTAACAAACTGTAAATGTTATTAAATGTCATGCTCCGTTTCTTTATAAATTGTTGTACAGTGAGTGATCCAGTAGAATTTTTTTGGAAGAAAAAAAAGCACGTCGTAACCTACAGAAATTTCAGTATAAATAGTCAAGTGAACAAACCAACAGTTGATATTAGAAAGAAAGGCTATTCGAGTAAACACAAAGGCAGAATGACAACATTAATCAATGTTTCAAATCCATGTCAACTGGACAATGGGTCATTGAACCAATCGACATATCAAATAGATGAATTGATCAAAAAATTGAGAATAATCTTTGACAGTGATCAAGTTGATGTCGATGAATTAGAGAAAATCTTAAGAGATTTTCATTGTGATTTTTCAGAATGGCAAAGATTTACATTTTTTAGTAAAACAGGGTAAGTTTATTGTTTTGTTTTAAAATAAACATTATGTGAATTGATATTCATATAAATCTGCATACATTTAGTGTTTGAATACTGAAATTAAACTTATTATTATTATAATTCTCATGGATACCAAGTGAAACACAGGGCTTCACTCCATTATTGGTAAGATTTTATTTTGATAAATCACACAGTGTTACACAGTAATATTATTTCCCAGCAAATATTAATATTACTGTGTAACACTGTGTGATTTATCAAAATAAAATCGTATCCATAATGGAGTTACACTCTACCACAGTGCCCAAGTTTTATACTTATATCAACAGGGCTTCACTGTCTTTTGTGAAGCCACTTGTAGTTGGCTTCACGACTGCCCATAAGCTGTAATCTCTTCTCCTACATACATGTCACACTCAGTGGTTTAGGAATGTGTCAGCTGGAAAACTGAATGCTGGACTACAAGCGGCGTGGCTGGAGAGCATTTTACAACTTACCGACTGACGGACAGTTTCTTTGCGCTTCTATATCTTTTTATGCTTTTATGAAGTGTGCGTGTGACGATTTGGATTGTTGTACTTTTGTGTAAAGTTTTACATGGAAAATTTGGCTCAGTGTAGCAATCCATTTTTACATAATCACTGAATGTCGACTAACTGACTATGTCATAATCTAATTGCAGTGAAACTGAGTGATTTCATATTCGCTTAGCTTGAAAGTGCTTTGATTCTGGACATCTATGAAGTTATTTAGAATATACTTACTTTTCAACCAGGTATATTTATACTCTGAGTATAGCTGATTATATCAATATACCATTAATTGGTGGAGTGTGTTATGTATTTATAATACAGCATGGAATTCTCAGCATCTGTCACAGTATCGCATCTAATTTACTCAAAATAAAAATAAAATTAACCACAGGAATTCGTCCACATTTACAGTAGGAATAATGTCCAAAATATGCAAAGTATAAAATGAGAATAATGGGAATAATAACAGTGGGTTTTTTTCAAACATTATTGTCAATACAGTATGGAAATTTTAACATGTTATAGATTATTGAATCGAATGTTCTCTTGACATAGTATTGTGGGGAAAAGAACAAAAAAATAGAATTATTACAGAGCTTAAATGATGTTCTCACTTATGAAAAAATAAATGAGACTACTATAAGTATAAGAATTATAATAACAGCAAAGCTTGATGGTATAAGGGTGGAGAAAATTGTTTATTTATAAGTACAAAGAAGGTTAGTTAGTTTGTGCCTGACATTATTTTCACCGAATAAAATACTTGCCAAATATGGTACTGTGGGACTTTTATATTCGGACGTGCGCGCATTGAGTCTTTTGAAATGACTTCTTCTTTCACCTGAGGACACACAAGATGAAAGCTGAAGGTAAAATGGATACTCACAATCTGAAAAAATCCCTTCATCAAATTTGTTGCAGGAAATCAAATGCCTATCATCAATGACGACGTCAACGATATGGCCCAGTGGGATACCACTCACCCTACTAACAATCTTCAGAGTCCTACGTAGTATGACATAGTCTTTTTTAAGCAACTCAAGAGAGAATAAAGGTGAACAAAAAAGAAAAATAGGTAAGATGGAAGAGTTCACAAACTGTAAGAAGAGAGATTGAGTTATACCCAAGTGCCTTAACTTCTTAATGTAAAAAGTCAGACCGAATATTTTTTAAGAAATCGCTTAGACATTGGAAGACCAGGTATAGATTAGAAGAGAGAATTATTCCAAGATACTTAAAGTGAGACTTGATTTCTATATCAGCATCATCAATTTTACAACGGTCATAGGAATTAACAGCTTCATTTAACCATATTTTACATTGGAAATTGAAATTAACAGTCTGACATTTGAAGGATTTAGTTTAAGACTGCTAGACAAGGATCATTTGCTGAATCCTGATAGAAAGCCTCTCGCCTCAGTACAATCTAGCTGGGAGTTAACAGACATTGAAACAGTTAGATCGTCCGCATACTTAACAAAGCTAATTTCAACATCAGAATGAGGTAAGTCATGCAAGAAGAAAGAAAACAGAAAAGGAGAAAGAACAGCGCCGTATATAAATAGTTAGAGACGAATTACTTTTACATTTATAATTTATTGTTAGCTGACTATAAAGCAGAAAATATACATAAGGTATAGTCTATCCAATTAAGTTTAATTACAATAAAAGATGTGCCGTCCCCAGGTTTAATTTTTTTAATAATAATAATATCACTTTATTCCACAACAATAACAATTTACAGCACCAGAATAGAAGATGTACAGTTACAGTTATGGAGAAGATTGTTTAGCTCAGTTATTTTGTTCCCTGAGCTAGATGATTTAATTTTCAAACTTTTATTTTCCTCCTCTACAACATCTTCGACATTGGCCTGAATATTATGAAATCAGATTTTAGAATTCTTTATGAGTGAACCTGAATGCACTTGGCTGGCTCCGGAGATTTTCTTACCCTCTTGTTCTCTTGTATTAGTATTGTCTAGTTTGATACCTATAACCCAACAAATCCCTTAAAGGAAATAGAGATGGATTGGACACACACTGATAAGACTGTTAATTGACATGAGCCAGGCAGTTCCACAAGTGATAGGAGAACAGAATGCTACTAGATGGTTGTGCCTGCTAGTGTGACATGTAGGAGAAATTATGAGAAGAAGGTTAAAGTCTATGGGCGACCATGGCGAAATGAGTGAAATGGAGATGTGTTACTGAAATCATATGTTCCACTTCGAAGGTAAGGGAAAATATTTCCTCATTTTTGTCTTTCGATTGTTGGATGGGGCTTCAGGCTAGGAGCTTTATAGTCACAGTAGCGGGGATGTTGTTTATTTAGCACATCAGTCTAGCCCAACTTTTCCTTTTTACCTTGTTTACTATCCGTTAGGTGAAGCTTGGAACTGCGTCGACGGGGAATCAAACCCATACCACATATATGGCTGGAGTGGCATTCTACCAATGAACTATCAACTTACCAAGGGAATAATAATAATAATGTAATATGCACATTAGACAGCTAAGCTAACTAGCTCCGTTCTTTTCAGTACTACACGAAGACTTATTTAAAAAATTTTTAACTAGTCGAGTTTATTAAAGTTAGCTTCGTGCCTTTGAAATACAAACGCAGTGTAATAAAGTGCTTGGTCCACAGAGAAAGAGCAATCTTCTCTGATGAATATCATAATGAAAGGGCTTAATAATATTAAAGTTGCTGAGTGAAAACGGTTATCCAGAAAAATTCGTTGACAAGAATATGAATCAAAAACTAAGGCAGTACAGGATACCAGCAGTTCCTGAAAAGGCCTTATTCTTACAACCTCAGTTCCTCAGCGATAATATAAGCGAGATATTAACACAACGCCTTAGGAATACGGTAAGAAGAGCATTTCCTGTTGCTGAATTATACTGTGTCTTCAAAACTACCCCTATTTGCGTTCGGGAGTTAAAGATAGACTGCCTAATTTCGCCTCTTCTATTTGTATCTACCAGTTTAACTGCTCCTGTGAAGCCAGTTACGTAGGCTGTACAATTAGGCGTGTTTCTCGTCGGATTTCGCAACTTCATTCTGCGTGATTAAGTAAGTGACAAACAAATTCCGTTCATAGCTCTATTCTATCTCATCTTGTGGATACAGAACAAAAAATTGATGTTTACAAGGTGGCTTTCAAAGTCATCTACCGTATACGAACTAAGCTTAATTTTACCTCAAGAGCTCATCCACTACACATTGCTGAGACTGTTGGAATCTACATTAAGAAGCCTAATCTATGTATCCAAAAGAAGTTGGTTCAGACACTTTCCTTACCCTTCCCCCTTGGTCATCAAGGTTTTAATGATCCTTAATTTATTGTAGAGATTTCCTTAATTTTATTTGATATTCTATTTACCATTACATTTTTATAATTGTTATAACTTAAGCGTCTTTCTTGAACTGTAATCTCATTGATCCCAACAATTCGATAACATTTAAAAACACCAATATTGTTAATGACTATTACTCTAGAATATTCTGTGTATATAAATATATATGAATATAATTATAGGACCAGAAGATAATCTTTGCTCACTGTTTTTCTTCTAAAATTCACTTCTATATTCATTTTACAGTTATACACGTAATCTTGTTGATGAAGGCAATGGAAAGTATAATCTTTTATTACTATGTTGGTCTGGAGGTCAAAAAACTGGCATACATGATCATGCTGGCTCTCACTGCTTTGTTAAAGCCATAAAAGGTTGTACAGATTCCTTTTGTTTGTTGTTCTTATTTATTTGACAGTTTATACTATTCAGATTTTGTTTAATTATGGATATGGTTAGTTTCAGTATAGATTTTCTTGGGAAACAACATAAGGTGGAGAACTGTTAAAAGTCAGAGAATATTCAAACAAATATTTCGTACGAATCTGCAACTCCTCAACAAAGAACACCTGTGTATAACCTTGACTAGTGAATGTACTTGCTATGATTATGGCTGCGCACCACTAAGAAGTCTCAAGCTAGGAGGAAACAGCTGTCCATTTCTCATTAGTTCCCAATGACCGAATATGTATCAAAGTCTTGATAGTATTGGTGTTATTATCAACTTTATTATTACGAATGTTCTTGGTTCATTGTATTCTTGCATCATGGATATGGGATTTGATTTCTGAGTATGAGTATTTTTTTAGAGAATTGCATTATTTTCCATGACATAATAGATTTTCAAATCTTGATTTGCAGGGACTTCATTGACTTCAAGACTGATTACCCATCACCTCAGCAGGGAGTGAATCCAGGACATTCAGCTTACCAGGCCAGCTGGCACACGATTTAGCCACTAGGACGGAATCCAATGGCTAATCAATTTTATTTTCTACTCATTCGTGACCGTATACGAGCTCGCCTTGTAACCTGAAGGTTCTGGGTTTGATCTCTGGTGAGGCTGTGCACGCCTACTGCTAAAATGACATTGAATCCTCGGAAAATCGAGAAGTCTAGGGTGAGTATAACTCATAATAGATCACTGCATACACTGACAAGGAATTGTGATGAAACTTAGGATTAGACTGGTTGAGTTTGAAGTGATATGGATCAAAACATTATATAATAACCCGTAGAATCTTAAGGTGGTGATTTCAATCATATAAAGAAGTATAGTTATCCGCCAATGGTTTTCGGTATTTTATGAATCACTGAAAACTGTTTACCTTAACGAAATCGCATTCACGAATGTATAAATCATACCCACTGCACATTAGATACCTCTCGTGGATCAGAGGACTTGTGGATTCATATTTTGGGATTTGAAGTGGAGGGTAGTTGGATTCGAGTTTAAGTGATGGATATCATCACCAACTAGAAGATGCAGGTATATCATCCAGCTGGTGAGTCCTAAAGCATGATGCGAAACACACAACCAAGATTCCACTTTTCATCTTCATCAACCAAATAACATAAATAACTTATCAAAATGTAGCAGTTTCTTGTTTTATTTCATTTCTCCATTAGGTCAAGTTAAAGAGACTATTTTCAATTGGCCAAAAGACTTCTCACTAGAAAAATTAAATGATTTCAATAATCATAGTGATATCCCATTGACAGTGAAGTCAACTCTGGTTATGAATCCTGGTGATGTCACATATATGCACGGTAAGTTATTTCTTTGCGTTCCGAGTGTGAAACACAGAGGGATTCAAACTTTTTTGAAGTTACAGGAGGCGTTGGGTTGCTTCTTTATATGAACTGGGGCCACTCGTCTTACCTAGCCCAACCTTTCCTCTTACTTCTGAGCCTACCGTCTACTAGTCAAGTAGGCGTGTTAGAAGAGTGAGTCGGCTGGGAATTGGCCACGGAACACTTGCATGGCGGTCGAACATTCAGCCACTGAGCTGGAGATGTTATTCTTCTAGGTACTTGACGGAATCGAACCTTGCTTCACCTACCAAGGCTTAGACAGCCAGGCAGTAATGAAGTCATTCAAAACAATGAAATTAAATGACAATAATCATTATTTTCTCTTACGTAACACCCCCAGTTGTTATTTTTCATCATAGTTATTATTGGTGCAGTTATGATGTCTAGTTTAGCTGCAAAACCATCATTGTCTTCCTGAACAACATCTTTAGCGCAGACTTCAAAATTAAGTCTGTCAGCTTTTAGAATTTTTCACAGGTTTCTCAACCATGGCACTATTCATATTACATTGATAATAGTTATTCTTGTTGATCTGATAGTTGACCTTTTGTGCATCTGCCTGTATTTCTACTGACTGGTGAGTCTTCTCTATATAAATGTGTTTGGTGATTGCACAATCATTTGAGTAAAAGGCTTCTGGAATTTTACTGGCACTTTTGGTGTTTCCTTTGTCGAAGATTTATTTTTCTGATAGGAATGTTATTCGTAGTTGTCTGCATGCATGGATGTGAGGGGATCGATATCACATCTTTTGATACAGTGTATCTTCGTTGATGCGAAGACGACGAAAACGACTACTCTGACCAATATAACAATTTTTCTCAGTTGTTGCAACTTTTTTGGAGATAGTGTTATTTTCGTCCTCTTTCACTGTTGTATCTTTTGGTTGACCGTTTTCTCTGGTCTTATCTTTTGGGTTTTATCCTTCACTGGATAATTCTGAGTTGATCGGGTGTAGCTTATAAACAGTTCACATGTTAACCAGTGGACTATCAGTTCGAATACAATTCCATTCTTTCTAGGATTGAATATCTAGGTTATGTTGGTTAGTCAACATGGAGTAGATGTGAATGATCACCGCAGGGTATGGACAAACCTTCTTTACCAAAAATTAGTGGAATTAATTATTTCCTCTTGAGAATAAAATCAATTATTCTTCAGGCTAACTATGTGATAAGTAATTCACTCTGAAGATATTACTAATTTAAGATTCATTAGAGAACCACTGAAAGCTATGCGAGCACTAGTCAGTAGTGCACACTCATGTCCTACCAGAGATGGAACCCAGAAACTTCGGGTTAAGAGGAGAACCCGTCGACCATCGCGTGCAAACCAACACTTGAAATTTAATATGAATTAAAATTGAAGTGTAGATTCCATTAAGCACTAACATCAGTTATAAAATCATTGAAAACCAAGGAATACTCACTGAAAAGGTGTTTCGTTCTACTTTCGGTAACACTTTAGCAGTACACACTCATTACCGCATGAGGAAGCAAACCTAAGGCCTCCGCTTTACGCAAGAAACCTCAGGTCTTTCAGAAAAAAATTGACTGAAATCCAATGACTCGTGAACCTTAACTTTATCCATTCGCGATAGAGCGCAATTGCTAACCAGTTCCATCTATGCGCATACACTTCAGTTTGACATGATGGACCGTAGTGGCCACGAGTAACAACTAATGAGCTCTAAATTGATATTCACATTGTGGGCTTTGTGGTGATTTAGGGTAATTTTGATGTAGATTCCATCGTGAATCAGCATTAGTTAGAGAACCTTAGAAAGCCATGGAGCACTGAATGTTTGTTTTGTCCTATTATACTTCCCTGTTTGTTAAATGTGGTTAATTAGTGAGGTCATGCTATTGAGCACCACGTAAACAAGTATACCAATGATCTTGAATCATTTCTAGTGAAGCAGTAGTGATAAGTATCAGTCATGAATGCTTTTCAAGATTTGGGGAGATTTCATCGGAAAAAGTGCCTTAAAGTATACCGTAGCTCCAAAAGTCATAAACTCTCACTTTAAACTAACTTTAGCCTAACCCTAAGCATAAAGAGTAATCTTTTTTAATGAATATGGAGGCCACTAAAGGGAACTGAGAGTTATTCTTGCAGTATTCTAAAGAGTGAGGTCCCGTTTCCTACTTTTATACATTTTACAACATTGGTTTCGTAAATATACTCATTTCACATAAAAATTCGCACTTTAAGTGTCTTTTGGCCAGTTCAAGATCATCGGTGCAATAATTTTCTTGGTGTCCAACGGTGTAACTTCTCCAGTGAGCTATAGCCTTATGTTTGTTTTTTACACAATATTTTTTTTTTTCAAATTCGGACGTGAAATACTTCAGTCCACTAAACATCGGCAAAAACATGTATATTATTAGCTTCGATTTTGTGTGGAACAGGGGTTCAAAAACAAATCTTCATTCAAAGGTTTACCGAGATTAGTCTGGTTAAGACTGTCAAATTTCGGTGGGTTAGATCAGACATCGTACAGAGGAAATGTCATTCATTTGGTGAAGGAAAGCTATATTTAGCTAACTATTAGTGTCTTCCGATACAAATTAACTATGAATGCCTAAATCATTGTATCTTCGACTGTTAACAACATAACCAATAGAAACAGAAGAAGCCAGAGCACAATGTGATAAATCTAATCGATAATCTATAAATTCTAACTTCTGTCAGTCCATGATTTAGAACGACTATCAGCCAGTGACATGGGCAAGAATCTGTCTGACTTGTTGGAAGCTATTAGTCACCGATTCTCACTGGAGCCCCAGTAGACGTATTTTACCGTAATTAAAGTAACATCTTACGCCACACCATTAGTTGGAATACATTTCTGTCTAGTGAAAAAACAGAAATAAATCGATCAAATTATTAAAACACTTATCATCGTTACGTATGATTTTTCTTTTCCCATTCAAGATAAAATTGGCATCCATCGTTTACAGAATGCTAGTGATACTGAGCCAGCTATTACACTTCATCTATACTGTCCACCATATCAAGAATCTATAAACTTTGAAGAGACAACATGTAAAGCTAAAAAGTGTGAATTAACATTCTACAGCAAATTTGGTAGACAAATTGAGTAATACTGAGACGAAGGAGAATGAGAAGTAAGTACGTTTTTTGCTTCATTCCTTTGCGTTGACAGGGTGAAACATAGGTCTTAAAGTCGTTTTGGGATTGTGTGTCTTTTGCCGGCTGACGTTGCCCAACCTTTCCTCTTCTTTTCCAGACTTACTGTCGGCTAGCAAACTAAGTGAGGCACTTAAGTGCGTCGACCAGGGACGGAACCCCAAACAGTCTGGATGGTTGACGAATATTCCACCATATTTTCCTTTGTTTCTATGTGCATCATAATCACAACTCATTCACTAAACTATTCATCTTATTACGTAACTTTATTACACCTGTTTAACTTCTTTTTTGAGTTGATTAACATTATTAACTATGCTTTTTGACAATAAACTGCCACTACCCTTTTACCGATCTCCACACACTAGTTACAATTTGATTATTACTCATCACATTTTTGAAATGTCTTGACAACAATAGCCCTAACTTATTTTTATTCTTATCAGACAAACCTATGTATACACATACGCACACAAAAAGCATATATAATTGCGATTGTACAGCCAAGTGAATGAATTCGCCGCCGAAAAGAGACTTCACTGAACTAAGTATTTTGTTTTCATTAATGTCTGGATGGGGATTACTCATGAATTTTATGAATCCCTGTGAAGTCCTGCCGAAGATGTCATCTACGATCTACGATATCAAATATCATATCCCAGAGAACAGTACTAAACAAGTTCTGTTCTGATTATCGGCTACAAATATTTCACGTAGATTCTAACTGGAGTTACCTATCTGTCCTTTTGTCCTATTAAGTGTCCAATTTATATTGAACATTGATAATAATAACTGATTCTATAGACGGTATAAAACTGAACGTAACTTGTTGAACATTTGCCACTGATCAATGACATTCGAATGAAGTGTTCGGTCTTTGTTAACACGTCAGTTACTAGTTACGGTAGCTTCAGTGCTGCTTTAAGACGAACTTGATGTGGTTGGTGGGAAATAGATATATTTTACTGAAATGCTCAGTCCTCTGTGTCCAAGTCTTAGCGGGAATACCATCGCTCATTGCAGGTACATCTAGCTGACGGATCCCGAAGAGGGGAGAATTTAACTGGATACAAGATAAAAGTTCTAATAGAAATTCCATTTCCTCAATAAATTATTCACCTAGATGATCATGTAGACTAGGCGCTTCGTCAAGTTTAGTTTACCAACTTTCGCTAAAAAACAAACTCCTTGAAATTTTCGCCTACTTACTAATAGTAAGTAGTATGATTATTTCATTCAATATAATTTATGGTGAACCAACTTAGTCATTCTGAACCGGGGTTTTGTTACTCAGTGAACCACATTCTATGCGACAAGGTTATGGGTTGTATCTGGCTGTCTAGGTTAAAGTGGACAAAAGGTCTTTTTAACGGATAGTGTCTCTTTATCGTGAGAAACAATGAAGTTTTCGGGATATCAAACCAACAACAAAACTGAACGAATGCACTGTATCTCATCCATTTAATTTATTACTTGTGCAAATTTTACGCTCCCTTGAAAACGGACATTTCACTAGGGAATGTTTTTAATGGATAAGGAAGAAACTGTTGAAATAATGAAGACACTGTTCACTCTATATCTGCAAGTGAAAATATTAAGATATCCAAGAGATGCTACTAGAGTCCGATTCGTCATTAATTCATATGCACTTTTATTTCTTATGTAACTGACTAACTGTCAAACAATTTTTTATCGCGAGTCAGACTATTTGTAAAGCAACAGTAAAGAAACTACGAAATGATGATATCATCTCACAGTGCTTATATTAAATTATCAATGTCCCATTGATAATGGTTTCACTTATTTTATTTTCAATCAGTTTTCGTCACGAACCACAGTCAGTTAGAGATATCAGTGAAAACCAGGAAGCACTGGACGGTTGTTTCGTCTTAATTTGAGAGTCTTCATCGGTGCACACCCATGACCCCATCATTTACTGAACCCGGGACTTTGAGTTTGCGAGGACAAGGTCATCGACCATCCGATCATTTGGAATGGAACTCAGTGACCCGTGAATTGTAACTTTGTTGACCCTAACCTTCGTGGGGTCGTGGATTTGCACTGATGAAGAGTCCAAAACTAGGACGAAACGTTTGCCCTTTCCCAATGATCTCTGTAGCTGATGCTGGTTCGTGACGAAATCTGCATTGCAGTTAATCCAAAATCCCTATAAAAATCTATAATCTGTTTTATTTATTCTTTCCCTAATTAGTGAAACAGAAAACGTGCGTGAGTGTACGTGTTTGTCATGCTTTATCATCCAATCAAAATCGACGTATTATAAGTAGTATAGCAAGTGTCATTTATAATATCTCCTTCTTCAAAATAACAAACACGTCATCATAAAAATTTATCAGACAATAAAATAATTATGCAAACACTGAATTTGACGATTTTAAAGCTTTCCTTTCTTCGCTTTGTTTTATGTAAGAAGACTAACAGGCTCTTACTGCAAGCTCTGAAAACTTTGTGAACTTCAATAAAGATCATTTTTGAAAATGTTTTACTAATGTCTTTTTACACTGCTTGTAAAAAATTTTAATATTAGCTTAAACATTATTTGGTGGATGGTGACTAGCAATGGATGTGCATTTCTCACTAGTTAAGACTCATCATCTGGATGTACCTACATCCTCATCTCCCTACAAGTGAGTAACGGTGTTCCCCATTGAGACTTGAACCTTAGATCCATCGTTTGAAACCGAACACTTCAGTTCGACATAATAATCAATGAGAAATGTAAATTAGCCTGAAAACAAAGTAGTAACTGACACCCGTTGCATAAGAGGTGGTTCTTGTGATCTATCGGCCTAGTGGACTGACTGCCTGGTTTCAACGTAGAACTTTGCACATATGTGCAGCGGTTCGAGTTGCCACACTCTCTCGACTTAGTATACAAAGCAAGAGAGAAAGACATACAATAAACAGAAGTGCGAGGGAAAAGAATCGTAATATGGAAGAACAACAGAATTTCATTGGATATTATAAATCACAAAGAGTAAATGCATCTGCGCCAGCCTCTATCAACGATTTTGACCCATATTACCAATTGTCTACAGTCACTGGTTTTTACCATCCCGAGGACCCCAACCAGGAATTCTACATCTTGGCCTAGTGCGTTACCCTTCAGCATTCAGCATCCGATTCTCAGTGAGGAAACTATCACTTACTATGGATGCGGGTACCTTCAGCCAGTGTGTCCCAAATAGGATGAAGTGCACATCGTTGATTCCACTGTTAGTCACCATCAGACATTACTGAAGCGCCCATTCTAGGAGTCGATATGTAAAGAAAAATATGGAGCATTTCCATCCAATATAATCAAGAATCAGTAGGGAAATGGAAATTAACTTATACACGAGTAGTTTGACCACTAGTTACATCATCATACAGTGTGTGAACATCAGAATTTAACCAAGTTGAACAATGGCAACTTGACTGAATGATCTCATCAACTGAATTGAAACCAATCAATCGCATTAAAACGATAGATTTCTATAGAAAAGAGGGTATATTCATGAAAAAAATGTTTAGAAAAGTGTAAAAATGAGGAAGAAACCGACGATGTGTTATAAGGGTAACTCCCGCGTTGTTCTCATTGTGTCGATACTCATCGAAACAATTATGCTTAACGATGGGATTATGGCTAGGGATAGATTAAGGTTTGGTCAGAGTTTAGTTTTCCCTAAATCCTAAACATTGTTAATTTGTTTAACTCGATCTTACTTATACTAAACTAGATTCACCTTTTCAATGTAATTAGTGGTCGGTTCAGGGTATCCGGTGTCCTTGTTCCCTTGGGGTTTTATATTGTAACTTTGAGAGTTATTATTATTATTGTATCCTTTAATTCCTACAGGAACACAGGGCTTCAGCCGTGCGTCTCCATTGCCTTCGGTTCTCCACTAGAGTCTTCACCTGGCTCCATGTCTGCCCACACGTTTTCATCTCCTCTTCACATGACCTCCTCCAAGTCACCCTTGCATTGACGACCAACTCAACGCTTCCCTTTCGAGTTCCACTCGAGCAATGGCTTGTCTAGTGATGTCACTTGATGGTTTCCTCAGAGTATGGCCAACCCATCTCCATTTCTTCCTGTCTATTTGTTTCACAATCGGTTCCTGGTTGGTTCGCTCCCAGAGATCCCTGTTGCTGATCTTTTCTGGCCGGCCATCTGATCTTGAGTATTGAGCGAAGACAACTGTTAATGAAGGTCTGTAGTTTGTTTGAGATGCTCTTTATGACGCTCAGTGCAAGTCTCTGATCCGTATGGTAGCACTGACTGACTTCACATTGGAGTTGAAAATACGGATCTTGTTTTTGACGCTGAATGCTGTTGACCTCCACACAGACTTGAGAGTAGTGAAAGCTTGTCTTGCTTTTCCGATTCTTGCTTTGATATCCTCATCAGCTCCGTCTGCCTGTAGTTGAAACGATGCTTCCCAGGTAGGTAAATGAGGTTGTTTCTTTGAGAGAGAGAGAGTTAGTTTTGAAAGTTAGTTTTTATAATCCTCGATCTCCTCTTTGATTCACTGTAGGGAAGGTAGAGTTTCTCAGATGTCTATGTTAGGTATTCCACTTCTTTACATTTGATCCTGTTCAGTCCAGACTATGAAATCATTCTATGAACTAACACAAGAATGCAGTTGGTAAACCTGAAGTTAGTCTATGCCATTCAGTCTTCGAAGTTTTGAAACATATTTGATAAATTGAGGGAGCTTATGTAAATGCGGCTGATATATGTTTATGCAGTTAAGGAAAAGACGATAGCTACTTTTAAAGGTTGAGTTTCACTGCAAAAATACTATAGACGTGTTCATAGTGCTGAAGTTCCCGCAAGCATAAATTCAACGAAAGATGCAAGTCATGAAGGATATTAAATTGCAAAAAATTGAAAGAAAACAAACAAAATAAGGGGTTAGATAGCAGTGTCTACAAAAACCATTGACATTTG